TTGGTGTACTATGTCTCATATGATAGAAGTAACATTTCAGAACCTGCCTGATTGTAGGCAATCGGTTATCACAAATCCCTGGTCTCGCGTAACCGACCAATGGAACCTCTCTATGTTGTCGCGTCTCCGGCATATTTCGATGTGTTGGGTTTTATGGATCTTCACCGTGAAGTATACGTTAAACTGGCAGTGACTCTGATGTTGACGCTTCAGAAGTTCTCCCTTGACTGACCTCCAATGCATAGGGCATACGAGAAATTCATTTGAGGCTATTTCACTAGAAGAACAAAGTAGTCGAGGGCTCCACCCCCAAAACTGAGGTGGAGAACGGGCGACGTTATAGGCTTCCCTTATTATAAATTACCTAGAGATGAGTCACGAAGGTTTTGCAGATCTTCAGGTCATATTTTCTCGTACACCATTTGAATGATTGACTCCCAGGGCTCGTCAATTCTAAGAAAAATTCAAGTCGGCTTAGATCAGCTCTCAGCTGAATTTTCGAGGAATACCTCGTAAAATATTAGAGATTGCAAAATTTCCATAGGTACCTCTTCTGTAGATTTCGCTCCACTCTACAAGAAATGTTCCTACAAAAATTTTCCTATCTCCATATATTCCGAGATATTGTGCAAAAACTAAGGAGAAACTGAAATCGACTTGAATCGTTTTGACGCTTTGCCACTGAATTTTTTTCTCACGTGAAATCATTCTTTCGAAGTCTTTCAAATTGAGATTCTTTCAAGATGAACAATTGAGTCGTATCGACAGAAAAATGTCAAGCGACAATTTATGCAGCTACAGAAAATATTCCAATATTTTCCTATCCGAAAAATTTGCTTCAGAAATTTCATCTTTAAATTGAGTGATTACCTCCGTGGAGAACAATATTTTATGAATTTGCAGCCGCAAACAATGCAGTTATTCTCATTAAAAATAAATAAATATAAGCAATTTCTCATGAAAATTTTGAGAATATTTTCCAATGCCTCCGTAAATGGAGCGGGACACGCAGACCTCTTAGATACTATACCTGGAAAATGGGTACTGCGCCGAGCGGACACCTTTACTACCTGGCGGGAGACTGCCATAAAGCCATTTGACTTTTCACCAGACATATTAGTTGCAAACTGCCAGTAGGTCACAAATTTTTGTGAATTTTCAGATTCTCATTGCTGCCTGACAGAATGACTTTGAAAATCGGGGAAAATTCGTACGACCTCTGCATACGATCGACCGTCGATTTTAGGCATGGGCGAGATAAAAAAGGATCATTCCGATTTTCTGGGCCTAGCTATATGGATATCCTTAACGGAACCATATAAGAAGCTTTAAAAAAATGAAAATTATGAAGCTACAAAACCGTACCAAGAGTAGGTGAAATCACCCATTTAGAAAAATGTGAAAATTTTTTTGTCCTTCAAAATTGGAACATCGTTAAAAAAAATCTCTTGACATTTTCTCCTGAATCCTGGATTATATATGGACAAAAAGTATACCCGGAGTATTTTCTATACCATAAATCAAGTATACGCATAAACCTCAACCGACAATAAAATACAAATTATTTAGGTATATTATTCTTTATTTAAGTATTTATATACTTCATTCAAGGATATTTTATGCTCAATTGAGGGATGGGTATTTCAATTCGAAGATGATTCTTTAGTATCAGGCTGGGTTGAAGGAAGCCCTCGCAAGTGTAATACAAGGCTCAGGCACCCTCATTTCTTCATCTTTACATTAAGGCCCTTAGTTTTTGACTGTGATATTCCGATATTCATTTTTTCATTTCCACTTTTTGACCCTTATATTCTCACACTTACAAGGACCCCTAGGTAGGTATCCGCCTCTGATTTTGATGAAACTTATATATGTTATAGCGGAGGCAGAACTAAGGGACACGTATTTTTTCTTATCGGTTAATACGTGCATTTTTGGGGCAAAACTGTCGTCTGAAGTAGGCCACTTCTCAGGTTATTTTGTCGTTTGCGTATATAAAGAGAATACTCAGAAAAATATTTTGCCATGTAAAAGGAAACTTATGATAAATGATGAATATGTGAATTAAAATCATCCCCAGGGGTTGAAATTTAGGGGTGAACTACTCCCGCGAAAAATTATTTTTACATTAAAAAAAAACTATTGCTCAGAATTTTATCGAACCAATTCCATTCGAAAGAGCATTCAAAAAGACAGAATACCTTTTCTTGCATTTTTTTCTACAAATTGCAATTTAATAGCGAAAAAATCAACTTTCAGTAACTGTGCTATCTTTCAATTTTCCGCGGTGTAAATCGAAGCTTGTGTGGGATAAAAGGATTAAGTCAAATTCGTACCCGGTGTGGTGAATGTGGGGGGTAAGTAACCTCCTGACAACTCAGTCTTCGATAAAACAAAAAAACATGGTTTAAAATTTTATGAAATCATTCCTATTTGCAACGTAAGGAAAAAATACGAAGTACCTTTTTTTTATTTTCTTCAATCGAAATTCGAACCCATCCAGTAGATGACTAATAATTTGCAAATCGTCAAATCTGCTGTCTATTTACTTTTCATGTAGCTCCTCTCAACGAATCGCCATGACAGCCTTCCCAACATCACAAGCATTTGATGACAACTCGATATGGACATATGACAATAATTATAGTAATTACTCAAGAGTGGGATTCCAAGTAAACATGTCTAATAATGGTAGAGTTCATAGCATTTAGTTTTTGCATATATTATGATTTTAGTATAATTGTCCGAATCATCAATATTCTAGACAGGTAATATTAGAGATCGTAATTTATACAGAAATGGTATTCACAAAAAAAATACGACAAACAAAGAGATTTTTTGTACCATGAGCACCGAACTATAGCGAAATTGGGACAGCCCTCAATGTCACAGTGGGGATGAGAAGATTGCCTGAAGGCAAAATGGACGCGATTCTCAAGCTCTTCCGGTTTTCTAACAATATAACCACCTTTAAACCAAGCATGATGAAATAAATTTTGATATCTTGGTGAAGATAACTGATTATGGACCAAAGATTGGAACTTTATTATATTATTCCTTAAATGTAAATTAATATCACGACCAAGGAGGACAACGGTATCCGAAAAATGACGGACATAATTTTTCCATATTCTAAAACCGAACACATCGAGGGGTTGAATCTTTTCAGTGGTACCCTTCGGTATCAACATAGATAATAACTCTTTATTTGGAGGTGTTGCTTCTCGTACCGCTTCAGCGCAGTGACCACTCCACGAATCTATCAGCAGTAGACTTTTAGGTCCAACGTTAAGGAAAAATACTTCCTTCGACCATGTTTTGAAATGCTCTAAAAATTGAGAACATTTTAATGGTCGTGATTAATGTGTAGAGAATATCAGGTGCTCTTGTGTCTTGCATTATCGCACCTGAAGTGAGTTTCCCCGATTTTGAGGCAGTAACAAAAACATTGGATGGCCTGAAAAGATTCTGCTCCACGATAGGGCCAAAAGTTCCAGAAGGTTCTTTCAAAACCAGGAAGAGAGGTGACAGTAATTTACCATCATCAGAAATTGTGGGTTGTATTGTATAACTGTTTGTCGTCGAGGTTACTAATTGTACTATACATGCCACTTGTTTTGCGCCTTCTTCAGCTAAAGTACGTCCTGAATGAATTTCCAATTGAAAACCACTCTGATCTGAATTATCGATGTTTTCCGGTCCATACGTGGAAAAATAAGGCTGAACTTTTTGAAGAAATTCGTCTGATTGTTTTTGTAGCGTTTCTCGATTTTTTAATATTTTGCGCGTGACGAATTTGTTAATTTTCCGAGATGTGATACGATATGCTTTCTTGAAATTATGTAACCACCATGGGGAAGCCGTGAAAGGAATGTCTTCAAATGCTATATCTTTCCGAGCTTGTAGAGCCCACCTGCGTAGGTCGGTGTCGTGAACAATCAATCCCGCATCAATTGCGTTTTTTATATTATTCAATGTATACTCCAAAATACGCTTCAACTTCTCCATATATGTCCCTCCTTTGTTGATTTGGTGTGCCCAACGACGTAACTGTCGACTGGCTTTCACCTTTTTGAATCGAATCGAAACAGTTTTCACGGAAAAATTTTGTTTCGTCTTTGCACTTCTCCAGAATTCTACTGCTCTCCACTTATAGTTAAAATCTACAGGTTCCTCATCTTCCAAACAACTTTCAGATGATTTTTTATTATGTGGTTGAAATTCTTCATCTTCAACCGCTATCATTTCTATATCTTTATAAGGCTCTTGAAAATCCAGGGATGTTTCTTCAATCATTTCCACACTATTGTAGTCCTCCATGGATAGAAGTTAAATCGTTTGTAAAGTATCCACTAATTCGCGTTCCGCATTGTTCACTGGTGTTTTAGCAAGATTAAAAACTTCGAATGTTGCAATGAGAGGTCTGATGAAGTTGATTGGATTAATTTTCATCATGAACCGATCACGAAACACAACACTCACTGATAGACAGTTTTTCTCGACAGATTTTGGTAGACTGATCGTGAATTGCATGAAAGATGGAAGCCAAAAATACATACTTATCCCCATGATTTTATTTTTAAACAACAGGAGTCATTCGAATGGATATTTTTATTCTATCGCATACGATCCCGTTGCGGTTCTGCATATAAACATATAAACATCGATGTAGTCCCTCAATTGTATGTTATTTTTAATTTCTTATACTCTACGCAATTTTCGACTTTTCCATGACCACTGCCCAAATTTAGCCATTCCCAGTACTACCCCCTCGCACTGCCTCATCAGATCGTTTAAGAACACGTATTTCATTCTCGAAAATGCCGACGATGGATTTTTCTTTTGCCTCCATATTCAGATTCCAGAAACAAAAAAATTAACGAAGAAGGCACTCCGTATTTTCGTCACCCTGTTGCGAATAGTGAGTTTATGAAATTTTGGATTATATATTTTTTCAATTTGAAAAATGATTTTCTAGGAGAGTAGTGGGCCCCCCACATTCAAAGCATTGGGTAGATGCCATCTGGTCCTTTGTTGTATTTCCTCTGGAGACACCTACGTTCTTCCATCGCTTGTCTCTTATGTGAGTTTCCGTGAGAGTTTTTAACCCTGTTCCATGCCTTCTTCAGTCGCTCCCTCAGGTGTGCTAGCGTGTCGTTCCACCAGCTCACCTTTTTGGTTCCATTTTGAATGCGTATGTTATAGTTGTTTTCAAAGGAACATCTGATCGCCTCGCCGAAACATTCGGCTGCGTATTCCAGTCGTTCCTTGTTTTCAAATCGGCAGGTCACATCCTGGATCCTCAGTGAAAGCTCCGCTTTGTATCCCACCCAATTTGTGTTCCTTGGATTTCTCCTTTGGATGGGGTCCACTTTGTCAGTAAGACTCAGGCGTATCTGACTATGATCTGAGCCCGAGGCTTCCCTGGAGACCCTCCAGTCCCTTACCAAGTCCGCCATGCCTGTTGTGCACATGGTTATGTCCAACAGTTCCTGTCTTCTGCAGTCCATAAAGGCCGGTTCATTTCCCCTGTTCAGAAGTAGAAGACCGTTCCCCATCATGAAGTCGTGTAGAGCTTCTCCCCACGCATTGGTGTTTGAGCTTCCCCACCCCAAATGGTGGGAGTTAGCGTCACATCCAAGCAGGAGTTCCAGCCCACCGTCCCTCACTCGATTTATAAGACCCTGCACCTCTGGCGTTGGGGGGAGTTCTATGAAGTCATAGGATAGGTAGGCTGACCCTATCATAAACTCCAAGACCCGGTTTTCCCGTATCAGGGCTTTTACTTTGGCTACTGCCAAGTTCTCTTTACTGAGTCGAGGTAGGAAGGTGGCGTCGATCCCTTTGATGAGGATACAAGCCCTTATCCTGTTCTCCCTAGGGTTCACGTAGAGTAACTTTCCACAGCCCCCTAGGCCTCTTATGGTCCCATCAACTAACCAAAGTTCTTGGCTGAGAGCTATGGCTGTCTGCATCTTAGCAAGCGTCCTGCAGAGAATAGCTGAAGCGCTTTTGCTATGATGCAAGTTAATCTGGACGGTTTCGATCGACCTATGAGCCATCGTTCAACTCACGTGTCGTCTTCTGTTGCCCCTGTGCCCCCACTGCGGTTCTTCTCGAGCATCTTGACCGATGCTCTTTGAGTCCCGCAGTGGGGTCTGAAGTTGCAGGCTTTTAGGGCCCGCAGTGTTTTTTCACCAACGAGGGTAGCGAAGTGGGCGCTCGAAGCTCACATACTCTCGCTGCCCTTGATCACTCGCCAGTCATCCGGTGATAAACCTGGGTTTTGCCTGCGCATGAGTTTAATTGCCCTTGATCACTCGCCAGTCATCCCGTGATAAACCAGGGTTTTGCCTGCGCATGAGTTTAATTGCCTCCTCGACAGTCACTTCCTCATCCTCCACGTGCACCACGACCCTGTGGCGCTTTGATAGCTCGTCAGGGCTCAGCACCCGGAAGGACTTTTCCCCAATTTTGTTATTGGGGAACAGGCTTTTAAGCCACGTCCCTGTCTCCTCGTCGGAACAGCCAATGATGGCCGGTCCGTCTCTTTCCCAGACGCCCTCAAAGATCGGTACATTCGTCCCCTCTGCTGCGGAGAGGATCTGGGATCTCAGTAGTCCCTTCAGGCCCTTGATCTCCTCTTGGGTGATTTTCCGGTCCGGGTAGCCCTCGGGAACCAACGCCAGTTTCACCATCTTAGATGCCGCCTGTGCGTAGATACCACCAGTCTTGGCCCGTTTCTCTGGTCGATTTATTTAAGGGCTAGGGGTGTTATGCTCGGGTGTTGGGCGGTTCACACCCTGCGCCGTTGCGTCACTCCCCCCAGCAGGTTTCCCCTCGGCTCATTCAGCTCCGAGGGTCCCCCGTTCCCTCTCGAAGCGGCGCCTCGCGACTCCGCTGAACTTCGATCTGGTCCTATTCGTCCCATAACCGTCTTTGTCAACTTCCTGGTTCGTCAACGCCCAGGAAGTTGATTATTGTTTTTTTCTATTTGTTTATCAGTGTCCATTTTTGGTCCCACGAGTACCACGGTAAAGCGGTCTCACCCAGTCATAGCCGTAAATGCGGGGGCTTTGCTGATACACTCACAAGTCGCCCGATATCCGAGGGCACCGTTAGCGATGCAGCACCCCCTGCGCCACGCAACCTCCGGCATGGTAGCTAACACTTTGGCTTGAAAAGTTTGTCCGCGACGGGTCTTCAGGCTCACCGCCTGGTTTCCCGGTTGGCTTGCCCTATTACCACCATTAGCCAGTCTTTTTTACTAGCCCCCTTTCAGGCCTCGGGTGTCTCTCCCGATTCCTGTCGTGAGCCAGATAGTCCGTCTGGCTGTCCTCCTATCGGCTGCGGAGACGCGCTCGGTCGGTAACTCAACCCTGTTCTCTGCACCCCGCCACGGGGTTTAGAAAATCCGAGTCCAACTTAGATAAATTGAAGAAAAATGAGAAGCCCCCCTCCACTTTTTCATTAAAAATTCGCTATCTCCTTTAGTCTGTTAAATATTTTTGAAAAACTCATCGACTAAATTTATTTGGTTCTGAATTCTCAATACACCCCCCCTCCCTGTAGCGCCTCGCTACATTCTAAAACGCGAACACTGGCTAACGACGAGCCCAGTCATTTGCCGTCTCACTCGAATCTTCAGTGCCACGCGTATTCTTTCATGATTCGTCAAAATCGTAAGGATATTCGGCAGCCTCGCTGACACCTTTCCGTGCGAATATAATTGAGTCTAACAGCACAGCTCGTATCGCTCACTTGATCGGATCACATTATTTTCTCTTCACCTTTGTATTAATTTGACGCGGATAATAAATCTGTAATTACCAGTTTAATTGCATTTGTTAGTGGATTGTTACCTTCCCAAATGACAGCCTTAATCCCTACACCCCCTCTCGCCACCTCCAAAATTTTCGTAAAAATTCGCTATCTCCCATAATTTTGAAGATATTTTTGAAAAACCCCAGCGATAACCCATCCTTTCATAAAACACCACTTGCACAACCCCCCTCTTTATAAGCTGCCCCCCCCCGAATATCGCTAACCTCCTTTTTGCAAAATTTCCCCTAAAAAATTTAAAAAAGTTTCTAGATTTTAGAAGATATTTTTTCTAAAATTAAGTATATTTTGGTTTAAAATTAATCCCAATTTTGATTATTGATTTTAAATGATTTTTTTCAAAAAATTAGAAAAAGGTTTCTAGATTTTAGAAAATTGAAGGTTAGACACCACCGTTTCTCAAACCGAAAAATCGGTCTGAATCAGACCGAAAAATCGACTTGAATCAGACCGAAAAATCGACCTGAATCAGACTAAAAAATCGACTTGAATCAAACCGAAAAATCGACTAGAATCAAGTCGCTATCTACTACCTGAAACAGGCAGAATTTTGGCGTGATTCAAGCCGATTTTTCGGTGTTATTCAAGCCGATTTTTCGGTGCGATTTAAACCGCTTTTTCGGCTTGATTCAAAACGATGTCGGCTGGACCCATTTCTACTTGAAATAAACCACTTTTCGATTTATATCAGACCCGCAATTCGGATTGGCCTAGTCCGAGTCAATCAATCTGAATCACCCAAAAATCGGTTAGAATCAAACCGACGTCGACTTGAATCAGTACTTTTTTTTGGGTGATATCCTTCAAAAATTCAACTGGGAGATAAGTCGACTTGAACCGTTTTACCACTTCGCTACTGATTTATTTTTGCCAAATATTCATTTACTTGAAAGAAGTATTTATTTGTTCAAAATCATATTATTAGGTGTACAAATTAATAAGGTGCTTTTTTTTTCATGAAAATCAGAGTTTATTATAAAAAAACAAAAAGATATTTAACGGTCGAAATATTCCCCATTATTTTCGATGACTGTACTCCACCTCACTGACAACTAACAAATTCCATTGCGAAAGAAACTTGGCAGTTTTGACTCAATAAATTCATCGATGCTTTTTCGGATCTCGTCGATTGTTTTGAAGTGCTCATCAGCTAGGTGGTGTTGAAGAGACCGAAATAGGTGAGAATCTCCCATCTTAATTCATAGATAATATTCTTAGTCGCTTTGGCGACATGCGGTCGAGCGTTGTCATGTTGGAGAATCACTTGTCTACTTCCGCTGCCAGTATGTGGCCTCTTTTGCTCCAATGCTTCATTCAAATGAATAAGCTGTTGTTGATAAACCTTCGCAGTAACAGTTTGGCCAGGTTTCAGTAGCTCATAATATATCACATCCTTCATATCCCACCAGATACTCAGCATCACTTTTCTCGCATAGACATTGGGTTTCGGAGTCGAGGTCGATGGTTCGCTGGGATTCACCCACGATTTTTTGCGTTTAAGGTTGTCGTATAAGACCCACTTTTCATTACCCGTAATGATTTTGTACAAGAAATCTTTTCATTTAAATCGAGTGAACAGAGATAGCGCCGTCTCCAGTCGTCGCTCCTTATTTTCGGGGCTCAGATCATGAGGAAACCATCTACCCTCCTTTTGAATTTTGCCAAGTTGATGTAGGCGATGAGAAATGCTGAGAAATTGTTGAGTCACTCCAAGTTGTAGTGCAAGCTCTGTTTGGTTTTGAGCAGAATTTTCAACAAAATTTGTTCGAGTTCTTCATCGCCGAATTTTTGCGGTTGACCCGACCGTTCTCGATCCGAAAGATCGAAATCTCCGTCTCTAAACCTCTGGTACCACTTTTCATACGTTTCATGTGTTACTGCGTTTTCTCCAAGAGCACTAGAAATCAGTTGAGTAGCCTCGGTAGCATTTTTCTTTAATTGAAACGCAAACAGAATGCAGTGCCTCAAATGTTACTTATCGACAGACATCGTGTTTACTACTATTTTTCAAGGTTATGTAAGAAGTATTTACTGCTTCGGTAACTGAATACTAACAATATATAAAATATTGAAATATTCAGTTTTTGAACGCAATTATAAACCACGAAATATAGGGGCACCTTATTAATTTGTACACCTAATATTTCTCTAATTGAGTCATTTTCAGGGAAGCCTGTTTAGGTTTCAATTATGGCAATCGTGTTGCTGTAAAGGACGACTATGTTGCACTCGATCTTGGATGAACTCCTTCAATGATTATTCATTTTTCCTAAATTTCTCATTTTATTTTTTGTAGGAAGAATATCAACTAATTTTTTAATGTTGATAATTATTGAGACACTTCACTTAAGGTCATAACTGACGTAATCATCTCCTAGAAAATATAATTGTCATAATTGACACCTAATGAGAATTGCCCGGTAATGACTTGACTGGAGAAATACGGAATTGAAAAAATAAATATTTCTCTCAAGTAAATGGATATTTGGCGAAAGTATTTTTTCTTCTCAGTGCACTGATTGCGAGGGAAAAAAATTAGAGTCGGATCGTTCGTTCCAGAGCAACCGTTGGTAAAATATTTACACACATACGCACATGCAACCAACCATCTAAAAACTTTATAGAAAATTTCTAGAGGTCATGAAACGTGTATTAAAATAACTAACTAACCGATATAAACCTGGAAGTTAATAATCCAAACTAGCTTTTATCAATCACTTTTAATACAATCACCGTTCGCGGATGTGATGGGACATTGCTTCCCCCTTCTCGTGAAGAATGCTTGAACGCACTGATACAGTGGAACCTCCATAACTGCACGCCTCCCGGGGCTTGCGTTCTCGGAATTTGCACTTATGAAAGGACCCTTCTTCGCCAGCGAAAGAGCGAGAGCCCTGAGTTAGAAAGAGATACGTGTAGAGGCAATGGTGGGGGCAAGAGTTACTAGGCCGACTGCGCGCGACGTAGCAAAATTTCATGGATAACCACACACGACGAAGTACCGGGTGAACAGAATACTATTGCGAACATTCCTCGCGCATTGTAGATAGAGAGCGGAAGAAGTTAGAGAGAGAACGGACATAAAGGGGAATTGTAATGTTTGAGGAACACTTCCCCTTGGAGTCTGCCCTGACAAGGAACACTACGCAGGTGTTCCCCTCCGATTTCGATGAAACTTAAATATGTTATAGGGGACCCAAAACTAAGGGACACGTATTTT